AGTTGCAATGTTGTGAAGTAAAATATTGCAGAGTAATTATACTGTACACGGACAAGATTAAAACATAGCGTCCCTCCCCCCCCGAGGCTCAAGACCCTCCCACGGGGAAAGACTATTAATTCACACAGGTCCGCAATCGAAGACACCACGCGGAAAGGGAATTCCCCAGCCGCTACATCACTATGGGGATGCCGCTATTCACCTCCATCCAACACTTTAAACTCAGCAGCGATCATTCACTCCTAACTACCCCCGTCCTACCTCTCCTCTCCCTACCACACCGGAACCTATCCCTGCAGTCCGCTATCTGGGTTCACCGCCGGCAGCCCTACACGGCATACGAGCGGCACCTCCCTCCCAGAACCAACGAGTCTGTGCCTAACAAGCAATCTCTCATTGAGCGCGGCTCTCTCTCTCGAACCCTGTATTCTCCCTCTTTTAATCCCACATCCCTAACAACCCAGGTGTCGCCACTTAATTAACCTTCCATGCCAATCCCTCCCCCCTCCACACACACACACACACCCATCATTATAATTTAAACCACTCCTATGATACAGTGACATTATTAACGTTAGAATGAAAACTGGATATTGGTTTTGGAAATAATGCACGCATTACAGTCATGTATGTGTTTTATGATGTATTTATCATAAGACTATAAATAAAGAGATAGAAAGAGATTGCAAATGGCCAAATTAGGTTGAAGTAGTTTTTAGCAATAAGAATGATGATCTGAAGACTGCTTCTGGATGTACACATCAAATGATGACATACCTGCAGAGTATAAAGTGGGAAAATTTGAGTCTGAGAATTTAGAGGGATATTTACACTGCGTGTCTTTGACTGAAGTTTCGCAGCGTAATGTCAAGTATTTTAATTCTGTTCTTCAGACTGGAAGAGATGAATTTCATAAGGTCGTGTGCTTTTCGCCGGAGAAACACTGCTCTTTCGCCCAAGTGTCAAAGAACAACATGTCAGTAAAGTTGAGCAACGTGAAGAGAAGCTGTAGCGTTCTTGGGGAGAGGAGAAAGAAAGATCACATAGACAGGAAGAGTTGTTATCCAGCATGCCGTTTTACTTCCTACCGATCCGCTGCTTGCCCCCTAACCATTACACACCTCTAGTTACGTCCTCACTCCTGACGTGCTTACGTCAGAATCCGGATGCTGAACAGAAAACCTGGAACAGGACTACATGCAAACACTACATCCCTCCCTTATTCGAGAACGAGAATCTACTTGCCACGCAGACTCTTAAATTGCAGATTACATTCTATATAATCAAATTACAAACTAGGAAGGTCCTTCTATTGCCTCAAGCTATCACTGTCAAAACATTGGAACAGGAAATATTCAACGAAGCAAATCAATACTTATGAACTACAAGTAATAGCATATTGAAAGACAGCATTTCACATTTCATCAATCAGATATCTTGGGGCCCTATGGTTAGTT